CTTACCAATAAAAGGTTAGTTATAAAGAAAACACATTTAATACATAAAAATACAATTATTAGTGTTGAAAATTCTATTTCTACCTTTCATAACTCTAAAGCCCTTTAAAATTAACTAAAGGTTTTTAGGAATTTTTAATTCTTAATTTTAGGTCCTATAACGTTTAATTTTTGTTTTTATTTTTAATAATTAAGATTTACATATTTATTAAAAATAATTAACTTTTTTATATAAAAAATTATAAAAAATTATAATTATTAAAAATAAAAAATAAATCATTTAAATTTTATATAAATTTAATAAATAAAATTTATATATAAATAACTCCTCCTCTTCAAGTAAAAGTACGGACAAGACATTTTTTTTTATCTCCGTTAACATTTCAAATCTTTTCACATTTCAAAGGTCCTAACTTTGCCACGTGTCTATTCGAAGTTGCAATCTCCCATCTCGTGACGGATGATCTTAACACGATCTTCATCCTCACTCTTCGGCTTCTCCTTCGCCTTTCACTCCGTTAAGAAAGAAAATAAAGGAAAAAGAAAAAGTAAAAAGAAAAAAGGGAAATGGCCTCGAAGCTTCTTTCGTCTTCTCTCCGGCAAACCCTAAGCAAATCCGTCTTCCGCCGCTTCTCCACAGCCGCAGTCGCCGCGGCGCCTAGTGCCGAGGCACGGTATGAGGATGAAGATGGAATTTCAATGAAAGGCATAAAGATTGCCGGGCGTCCACTCTATCTGGATATGCAAGCGACCTCACCCGTGGACCCTAGGGTCCTGGAAGCGATGCTTCCGTTCTATATGTCCCGGTATGGGAACCCGCACTCACGCACGCATCTCTATGGTTGGGAGTCAGAAATGGCCGTCGAGACTGCCCGTTCACAGGTCGCCGCACTTATTGGAGCATCGCCGAAGGAGATCATCTTCACTTCTGGCGCCACCGAGTCGAACAACATCTCTGTCAAGGGCGTTATGCACTTCTACAGGGAGAAAAAGCGTCACCTCATCACCACCCAGACCGAGCACAAGTGCGTCCTTGATTCTTGCCGCCATCTTCAACAGGAGGGGTTTGAGGTGACTTACTTGCCTGTGGGTACTGATGGGATTATTGATCTTGAGAGGTTGAGGAGAGAGATTCGGCCGGATACGGGGCTGGTTTCTGTTATGGCGGTCAACAACGAGATTGGGGTTATTCAGCCTCTGGAGGAAATTGGCCGGATTTGTAAAGAATTTAACGTTCCGTTCCACACCGATGCAGCGCAGGCGTTAGGCAAGATTCCAGTTGATGTGGAAAGGTGGAATGTAAGTTTGATGTCTTTGAGTGGGCATAAGATTTATGGCCCCAAAGGAGTTGGGGCTTTGTATATGAGGAGGCGGCCGAGAATCAGGGTTGAGCCACAAATGAATGGTGGGGGACAGGAAAGGGGGATAAGGAGTGGAACAGTTCCGACGCCCCTTGTTGTGGGCATGGGAGCTGCCTGTGAGGTTGCCATGAAGGAGATGGAATATGATGATAAGAGGATTACTGCTCTGCAAGAGAGATTGCTGAATGGGATTAGGGAGAAACTTGAGGGAGTGGTAGTGAATGGGAGTGTGGAGAGGCGTTATGCGGGGAATTTGAACTTGTCTTTTGCATATGTGGAGGGCGAGAGTCTGTTGATGGGATTGAAGGAGGTGGCAGTGTCAAGTGGAAGTGCATGCACCAGTGCGAGTTTGGAGCCCTCCTATGTGTTAAGGGCATTGGGAGTTGATGAGGACATGGCACATACTTCAATTAGATATGGGATTGGTAGGTTCACCACAGACGAGGAGATTGATAGGGCTATTGAGCTCACGGTTAAGCAGGTTGAGAAATTGAGGGAAATGAGCCCGCTTTACGAGATGGTAAAGGAAGGGATCGACATTAAACAGATTCAGTGGGCACAACACTGAGGTTGAGCTTAGAGCCCTGCTACTTAACAAATCTAAGAAAGTGAGTCCGTTTGGAATATGAATTCTTCATAATAAGAAGATTGCCTACTGAGTTAGAGCTGCTTTGTCTGATGTTAAGCTACAGCACTCATCCAGGTTTTCAGCTATACTATATGCCAGTGGGAGCAAGGATGCTTCCTTCTAGTGTAGCAACAGAAGGAAAACTTTGGTGGTTGGTATGTCCAATATCAGGCTGTTTTATTATAAAACTTTATGCATTTTGTCTTAAACTTTAGCATCCTTCATGTAAATAATGGGAATAATACAGGGATGCTTCCTTATAGTGTAGCAACAGAACTTCTCTGTATGTTTATTTTGCATCCTGCTTAACAGCTTGGTTTTCTGCTGCTGAAATATTAGCTATAGTTGTTTTGTTATTCTTGTATGATGAACAATTTTGGTTGGTTTTGAACAGTCAATTTTGTAATGATCGATTCACAGCTTTGAGCTTTTGCTATCTTGCTTACCATTATCAATAATGTTAAGTCCTTTGGCAGTTTCAGTGCATGAATGATAAGTTTCTTGTTTCATATTGATGATTCTCTTTGTTTTCTTTTGTTTGTTATGTCAGTCAGTTTTGTTGAGTTATGCTATGGAGTAGGGTGCAAAATGCTTGTCCTCATAAATGACTCCATGTAGTGTAGCTTTAGAGTCATACTTATAGAATGCAGTGCAACTGCCTGGTTGCAATTATCCTAACAGTGGTTTATATTATTATACTACTTAAAAGGATAAAATTGTTCAAAATTCCTCTTAACACCCATCTTAGAGTGTTTAGATTTGTTCTAAACCTCTAGGAGGTACCCCCATGTTAGATAGTGGCTCTTCCAGAAGTAATGTGAAATTGACTCGCTTTATCGAGATGTCTCTTATGCCTTGGGGGAAAGTTTCATCCATTGCTAATGAATATTATTAGAACACAGTCAACTGGGGTAAAATATCATGTGCCTTTTTTTCTCATAAATGATACCTTCTCTGAAATGTTACTGGTCCATACTTCAGACTGCCGTAAGAAGCCAGGTTTTGAGAGAGTCGCTAAACTGGAAAGTTTGGGCCCAAAATCTTGACTGCTGTATGAAACTTGTTTATTTGGAGATAAAATCATAGAAGAAATGAATCAAATGATCATCTTGTTCTTTAGATTTCTGTTGTTATCTTGTCTTTTCATTCTGTATTTTGAACTACCGCTTCTTCAGGCTCCAAGGTCCGGGCTTTCTAATCACATGCGTTCTTTTGTTCCTCCCTCCATGGATTACCATAATATTGCCCTCCCTGTATTATTTTTTGTTCGCTGAATCTCCGCGGCATTTCCACTAGTCATTTAATTAAACATTCCCTTGTTGTAATACAATCATCAACACCCTGATGATGATAACTGACAACCAAGGTTTTTCCACTGTAAGGATCCTGCCTTCTCTGCATCAGCTCCCGTTGCTCCTAGTTATACATCCCCAGATATCATCCTCTGCAATCAGCCCTCCATAAATTCGGAATTCATCCCGGAATTTAGTATCTTCTTTCTTTCTTTTGACATGTAAATCGGAAGTAGATGGAAAAATTTGTATATTGTGAGATTTATGACTCGGTGCCTCGACCATTTTCCAGCTAAGATAATTCTCCGTAACTAGTGTCAAACGAAACCATGACCCAAGATTAGTGGTATACTAGGACTTTTCTTTTAGGTGCATGAATGGGGCAGTCTAGATGAGAAAAGGCATTAGTAATAGTACAAGCACGTCACAGAATCAGCCTAGTTCTCTTTTCTGGACTCTGTTCTGGAAAATGGCCTAACAGAGATTTTTGTACCATCCTCTGATACAACAGTATTCACATCTTTACCATATATTGGAAATTTGGAATCACATGGAAGGATTGTGACTATGATTTTGTATTTTGTTTGTAACAACTCGTGGGATGGAGAAATTTCAAGGTTGCTTGGAAAGTAGTGAGGACTTAGGGGGAATCAGAATCCGTTTTCTTACACAGCTTTTCAGTTTTCTGTCTTGACATTTGCACCAAACATTCCCTTTCGTTTTTTGGACTTATTTTGGACATGGAAATTGTTGCCATGTCAATGTAAACTCTGTCCACATGACCTCTTTTCCAAGGGATTAACATTCCAGAGTTTTATGGAGCACCATTACTCCAACCAGAATCATTAGACCACATCCAATCTAGAAAAACAAAAAAATCAGCGGTAATGAAGAAGGAAAATCATAAAAAAAAGGAAAATACCCCATATGTTCTTTAGCATTAGTCTTTTTAATAATTAAAATTTGCTTCTAATTATCTGACATCATATCCTACCCATTATAAGAAAAAAAAAAAAAAAAACCAGCAGCATTGAAGAAAGGAATAAAAAAAGATGACAAAAAAAAAAAAAGTGAAGGTTTTTAAATCAAAAATATCAAAAATTTAATAATAATCATATGATATAATAAAGATTTCATTTAAGTTTTACCAATCACATGTTTATGATAGGACATTTTAATTCTCTTCTTTGTTTTTTTCACTAAAGAAATCACTAAAACTGAAAATTGCTTATGATCAAAATTAGATATTTGCACTGGAAAAGTGAAAGCATTACCAGAAAAACTCAGAGGGCAATCGAAACTCCAACCAAATATCAAACACAAAACTTGTTTGGAGGTGTCATAGAAGGATTTGATTGATTTAAGCACAAAAAAAAATTGGTACTTTCGCGAATGCAAGTTTCGTTGATCTACAGGAAAAGATGCGAGATCTCCTCTTTTTTTTTTGTAATAATAGCGGCAACAGAGAAACAAAGACCACACCACAGCTGGAAATTTGATGATCACTGCCCTTTTAAGTAAGCTTCTTTTCTTTTCTTCTACCTCCCAATCTCTGTGACAATTCTCTGGTTTCTCTTCTATCTTTTCAATTCCCCTCTTCAAGTAAGGACAGGAATCCTTCTGTGAATTTCAGGTTTTTTTTTTTTTTTCCTGGAAATGGAAAAAGACTCCCTTTTTGTTCCTTCAAGCTATTATTTCATCTTAACCCATATGATTTCTCTCATTTTCATGCTTCTGCCAATTTCATGGGTTGGAAAAATTTTCCTTCAAGTAAACGAAAACCGCACCAAAACTGGCTATCAGCCTTATGGTTAGAGAATCATACCAGCTATGTAATGCTTCATTCATCATTCCAACCAAAAACGAGAAATGTGATGGAACATCCAGCATGTCAGGAAAACTTGACATCAAAATATTACAAACAATATATGTGACTTAAACACAATGAAGGTGCTCTACTTATAACTAATTAATTTTAAATTAAATGTAATTTTTGTAAGGAACATGTCAAGACTTCATATGATATTAGAGTAAGTCTTATTATGTCAAACTTCTTATCAGCTTATATGATGAGAACTTATATGTAAGAAAACAACATTCATAATAGATCTGTATGCAAGCAGAGTTGTTAAGTGAAACTTAAACATAAGCAATACTACTCTACCTATTCAAGTCTTATAATTTTAACCCACATGTCAAAATTTTACATACTAGATCGTTGAATTAAAGCATGCACAATGGGATTTCTCATTGTTCTTTCTCAAAAGAGAACTCCATTAAACCATTCTCTTTCCTAAGCTGAGAAACAAGTTCGGTTAAATTTTTTTTGAAAATTTTGCACCAACCATATGTCGGCAACTATTTAGGGAACATGCTATTATGTTTTCATAGTCGTTGGTTATTATTATTATTATTATTTTGAATTTTATCAACTCAATTTTAATTTTTGTGAATGTTGATGCAAAATTTTGAAAAATTGCTGTTTGGATATCGATATATATTGAAGATGATTTGTTTATATATAAAAATATAAATTTATATAAAATAATATTAATTATGATGATAGTATATTAACATAACACTAAAATTAAGCTTTGTTATTGTACATGTTCTTCTGGTGCATTTGGATTTTAGGTGCAGCTTTTTTTCACGAGGAAAGAGGAACTGTGAGAAACGAAGTAAAATACCAACCGCCCAAATTTAATGGGAAAGCAGGCTCTGGAGGAGCTTAAGAATATGGCAAAACACATATGCTTCAAAAGTCGTATCAAAACCCAAAAAAAAAAAAAAGTCCCCAGTAATCTTCATAATTCTCCACAGATTCTGGCTTGAAGAAATACAAGACTTTTGTCCTCTCTTCTTTTTTCGCCAACTTTTGTCCTATTCTTTGGAATTGGGGGTTAACCTTCCTCTTTTTGAGTTGATTTTTAATGATTTTTGGGGTTTGAATTTTGGAACAGGGACATTTTTTGGGGGAGATCAAATGGTGGCTTGTGGTGAAACCAAAAAGACCAAAATATAACCTATACTACTACTTTATGCAATTCTTTCTGCTCTTTCCAGCGTAATTAATTTCTTGATCATTGAAAGATTTTTACTCATTTTATTGAAGAACAACCATGCTGCAAATCAACTAATTGGCTTAATCGAGATAATACTCACTAAGTTGAAAACTTTAATTGAATTTTAAAGTCATAAATTTAAATATATATGACGTGAAGTACAATACTAAGCCTTTGATATCAAAAAAAAAAAAAAAAAGAACTGGAAATCAATGCTAGCTTAAAGATTTGATGTGTGCATGGTTAGAAAGCAAAAATTATCATTGATAATTTGTTGATATGAAAAGAAGAAAGTTAGTTCTTTTTTAATAAGATTTCAAGTTTATCAAGCTTTGTAAATTGAGAAACATGTATTGAAAGTTCCTTGTTATGTTTTTTTAGACTCAATTTTAGATGAATTAAGATTTAATATGAATTTGGAATAATGGGAGTTTAATAAAAAAAAGAGAGCAAAAGTACATTAAATATCTTGCAGAGCACATATACGATCTTCTTCCAACAAGCAAGAGAAAGACAAAAAAGAAAAGAGAACAAATGATTCCCTTAATTTACATAATTCAAAAATGGAGATGGAGTTCACAATCATGGGTTGAAGATGTGGTTTCCACATTTGCACTTCCAGCTTAAGGGCTTGTAGTTGGAGTAGTCATCTCCTCTTGCATATGCAACATTTGAGAAATGTGCGAAATTTCCTTTCCTACTACGGACTTGGGAATTTGTTGGCACCTGAATAGCCTCACAGTGGCTGCAGGAGCTGCACCGTCTCTCACACCTTGGTGGTCTTGAACCTATCTGGGCTCTCAACACCATCTTATCTTCTTCATTCAATGTCTATCCAAACCACGAAACCACCAATCACTATTTTTTAGCAACATAACAGAGAGAAACAGAGTTTTTACCTTCTAAATGCAAAAACTCACCTTGTCGAAGTTATAAAATTTGGGATTTGGTCTACCTGCAAGAAATCAGATTAAATTACTTCAAAAGGACCATCCTTTTGTAATTCAAAACTTGGCTGTGAGAATGTTTTACCTTCAGAGTTGAACCCAAGTTGGATTGTGCACAAAATCAAGAGAAAAAGAAAGAAGATGAAGCCGTAACCACATCCCATGTTGAGAGACAGAATGAGAAATGGGGATTCAGGGGAGGCAAACAGACTGTATATATAAAGGAAAGTAGATGAGAAATGGAGTGACAGCATATATAAGTGTATGGTGAGGTGATGGAACGTAGAAGGACAAAGGAGTAATGCAGAAATCTAAAGGGATGGATGAAAAGAACCCAGAAAAGGGAAGAAGCTAAATTCGCATCGTATATTGAGCCTCCTTTTTGCAACAAAACCAACAAAGATCATACAACCCAGAAGAGAATGTGCATATAATAGAAGAAAGAGAAGGCACAGAGTAAAGTAGAGATGGAGAGGATATATGTGGCAACGACAGGAGAGGAAGATCGGAGGGAAAAGCTGAAAGACAGGACGCAAACAAAACAGCAAGGGAACACCGGAAAGGACACGGAGTTACCACAAACGGACATGGAATAACAGCTGTGGGAAAATTGGCTTTTCCCTTTCTGGCTCTGCTTTGATTTTCTTTTTCTTTGTTTTGAAGTTGGGGATATTGGTCTGAGTAGTTCCACATAATCACGCCTCCTCTTTCCTTCTGAGCTCCCCTATCACCCTCATATGCTCCTCCAATCAATCATGGTTTAATCAAATGAGCACACAGTACAAATTTCAAAGTTTTCTGGCCTATCTTTTCCAATTTCCTTTGCTTTGAATTTACTCCATATTGGTGCTATGATTAGGAAGACGTTTATTCTATGTAGCACTTTTTGAGGATAATGATCTACAACTACAAATTTAGTAACTTCTTACTTCTTTGCGCGTCTTATTTGACAACAATTGGAATGTTTATCTTGTATACAAGTGATCTTTAAGTTTAGCATAAAGATCCATAATCGAGTGGAAATTAGACATCAAGGCTTAATTATCTTTAGTTTTTTATACAAGTTTATTATTTTTAACTTTCTTTTTTTATGTAGTTTAAGTAAAAAGTAACAATTATTACCAATCAAACAAGTTGTAAAGGTTAGATCTA